ACACACACACACACACACACACACACACACACACACACACACACACTAAAAGAACCGTATTTTATTTTTATTTAGATGGCTAAGGCAAAAATCAAACGCTGTTGATTTTCTATTAATTCGATTTTGCATTTTCACATTTAGCTTTTAAAAACAAAAAAAACAACATGCTTGTTTTGTTTTTGCAATTTTATTTTGAAACGAAAAAAACCAAAGAACGAACCATACACGGATTCTCCTGTTTGTTTTGTTTTGCAGATGTAGCTATCTTAATTTATGAATCAAACCATTTTTTTATCTTCTATGTTCAAAAGTAATTACTGTGTCAGTTAATGAAGTAATTTCAGCGCTAGAAAGCCAATTAAAGTCTCATGTTAGGCGCAAAACGCCATCATGCCATTTTGTTGTTGTCATCTGCTGGTTGACTCTATTACATCTTCTTGTWATGTTTGTCCCCGAGTTTTTCCTGGAGTACAGTGGTATCTCTTTAAATAGCTTATACGAAAACGGCATGTCAATAACACGCACGGGGAGCAAAAAACAAACAAATAAACTCAGACATTAATATGTCTCAACTATTACTGACTTGCATCGCTAGAATTTATCTGTAAAAGAGCAAAAAACGTCACCAACCTAAGCTCAATTTGAAAAATAAGAGGACAGAGTTTATTATTTACCCTCAAGCATCATTAGCTAACTTCAACTAGCTACCCAAGCTAAACTTCTTCAACATGAAACCACAAAAAAGGCCGACGACGTCGGCGTTGCGGAATCGTGTCACGTTTGACAATTGACACAAAAACGAGAACTAAAATTGGACTCACCCAAAGGAGTACCGAACAGAACTCGAATCTGTGCTTGTAAGAGTGGCTGCTGTGGAAGCTCTGCCAATGGTAAAATGTAATGAGACTTGTGGAAACACACGCTGGTTGGAACGGGCGCGAGTGGTACAGCCGGCGCACCGTGATGACGTCAGAGGTTTAGTACGCATGCATCAAAACAAATCTGTGCGAGCATGTAAAACACAGAAATGTTAAAAATAATTAATAAAACCTGCGTTTTATTCTTCATTGGTACAACGACTTTACCTTGAATTTGTACCAAAAAAAGTAAAAACATAAATTACATATAAGTCTGCACATTTCTCCTGTCTCCCTTCAGTTTCTGATTTTATTGTGAGGATTACTCATCGTGGAAGTGTGAAGSAAAATGAAATTGTCACCCATTTATTTAAGTTTTGAATGTATTTTAATTGTTTCTTTCTTGTTTTACTTATAAATGTATTGTATGCTTATACTGTCATGATACATTCTGAATCATTTCAACTGATGTAAGCTTCCGGTAGAGCACCTTTAAAGTGTTGTTTCTTGTTGTTTCAGTTTAAACCTCACACACAAACACCCGTAGTTTCTGCACAATTGGATTGCAGAYCTATTTACTTTGTTACTATTGGAATGTGAACATGTAAGAGACGATGAAATATGAAGTATAACCACATTCTAGTTTTCCTCTGTTTAAGGACCACAGAACAAGTTTTTAATGTAACAAGGAYTTTTTGCTGCTCAGATAAGAGCCATCCCTTGCATGTCAAAAATAACCAGTTTTGGGACTGGTTTTTACTAAAGGTGTAAAGATGCTTCGCTGGGGCTGTGTCCTCAGACTCAACTTGTATTGCTGTATGCATGTTGACTCTCATTTTATTGCAATAAAACTACTCAGAGACCATTGTAGTGAAAAAAATTTTTGATCATGTATTTCTGCACTTTGTTTAACAGACATGGAAAAGTTGTTGTTTTTTTTTTCACAACAACTGAAGCAGTGCGCTAAATGCTAAAGAAACATCCCTCAGTGTGCAAAAAAGGGACATAAAAGTCATCCCTGTGCTGTGCTGTGCTCTTATTAACAAAACACCCCCTAAATAATGGCAACAGGAGTATGTCAAAGCCACAWCTCTCCTCCTGGCTCCTGGCTGTCCTCTTGCTGCTGAGTCTGTCCCACTCACACACCATAGAACTCCACCCCCTTCAGAATTTCACTGCAGGGGTTCTCAAGTGGGACCTAAATGGCTTGACCTAAATTCAAAAATGCTTTARTGATCCCTGAAGTGAGTTGTGCAAATTTAAGTTCGTATCAAACAAGTAGCCAGGRCTTTCGTTTCACTCAGTAATCCTCAAGTAGCTGTCAGTCTCAAAAAAAGGTGGAGAACCCCATCCTACAGTGTTTAACTTGATATTATAATCCTGATTTGTCATTTTACCTGACGCACAAGGCCAGCACAGTCAATGAACATCCAGACATTTGTCCTTTGGCCACTGTGAAGGAGCTGCATGGCAAACTGGTAACTCCACTTACCGGGGTATGTGAATGGAATGTATTTACTATCAGGACACACACACAAGAAAAAAACCTCCCTGATGATAGCTAGCCCCTGTTGTTCATGGTAAAGAGTTCAGCCAACTCGGTCACAACCAACATTTAATTGCTCAAAGTGAATCTGGGATGCAGTTGTGTAATATTGAATTACGAGGCAATAACCAAATGGTTGGAGCAGCTGTTGAATGTGCAGCTGTGTAAACTGACTTTTTGATGCCTTGGGTTTGTTGCTTGTTCAAAACCAATCTAATATGATGACAAGTATGTCATTTTTGCTTTTGCAATGCCTAAATGTATGCATAATTACTGATAATTAGTTGGATACTTCCAAAGATTTTGTTTTTCTCGACTGAATTAGCCTCATAGTGGGTATTAATATTAAATTGTGTTAAAAAAAATAAAAACATTAAAATTTTCACTGACATTTTCTGTCCTCCATAGGAATCATACCAGAAAAGTTGGCCGATGCAAAAAGAGGAGTAAACTAACAAGAAGCTGAAACATTTCTACAGTCCAGGAAGGATAAACAGACAGGTGAGACCTGTCCAGGGGTCATTTAGGACCATGGATTTTTAATAAGGCCTTAGTGTTACTTTGACATGGAAGTTGACTGGACACCTTCCAACTCTGAATCAAACAGGAAGCTAACCAATTTCATGGCAAGTGAGACAACAGCTGAGCTTAAAACTGAGTCTGGACCAATAAGATGTCCACATACTTTGGAAGTTCTTTGGACTTGAATAAATCTGCTTGACAACCCTAGAGGAACCACATCTCCAAACAAAAAGCTATGGGAAAAAATCAAATCAAGACCCAAAAGCACAGAATGCGGCTATAAAATGAAGTAAACCTGAAAACTTACACATGCCGATTTTTGTTTTTATACTTTTCGTGTTAAATCACAGAACAGCAATGATCCAAAATATCAAAAGGACAACTAATGTAAACAATTCTGTCATGCACGCCACAACGTGTTCACAACATCCATATACACCGTCAGTACAAAGTCACTGGGAAACTTTAGCTCACTCAAAGATTTCCATCCATCCATCCATTTTCTGTACACACTTACTGAAAGATTTGTTTGGTTTTTTTTTTTTTAACGAGGTGTTAAAGTTCCCTAAAAACACAGAGAAAAATCGTAGGAGAAATCTAAGTCTAAAGTTAAATCTAAATCTAATTTCTCTGAATTATACAGCGAGAATAGGTTTGGTCTGAATCCACAGACAATGAGCACATTGAATTGAGACATAGTTAATCATTAATAACTGTACAAAGAGCAGCTATAAGACAACAGGAGAACACCTGGAAGGCTTTTAGTTAAAACTAAAGTTGGGTAATATCAGATGAGATAATCTGAAGTTAAACTGGTAAAGCTGGATTTGTTAAGCTAGATATAAAAATTGATAAATATGCAGGCATGAAACAGACTTCGAGTGTGCAAGTCAGAGATTGTATCTGTGTGTGTGTGTGTGTGTGTGTGTGTGTGTGTGTGTGTGTGTGTGTGTGTGTGTGTGTGTGTGTGTGTGTGTGT